AGAAGCCAACACTGGCTTTAAATAGGGGCTCCTCTTTTTTTTTGACTTTTTGGGCAATTTTTTATTAGTTACTTTTTGGTGGGTAAAAATACTATGATAATTTACATTATAATTGTTAAATTAGCTTTGTGTCATATAATTGAATTTATTTTCATTTTTTAATTTAATCTAAAATTAAATATTGAATTACATTAGATTTGGATGTAAATTTATAATTAATGGGTACATGTTTACATGTTTAGTATTTTTAAATATCACAAAAAGCAAATACTAAATATTTGATGGTAAATATTTGCATTTTTGGTATTTTTAAATATCAAAAAATTTGAAAACTAAATGCTAATGATGTTAAATATTTTCGGTAATGTTCTTATATTTCAATTTCACCAAATTTAGTGCGTCAGATGATATATTTTGGGCATACAATGTTTAAATGTTATTGCTTATATTTTTATAAAAATTTCATAATTTTTTTAAAATTTTTTGTGTCTTCTATCTAGCATTTTTTGCGTATTGGTTGACATCCCGATGCCTTAACCGATGTGTATTAGTACCCTCTAAATCGACAGCCAATACCGTNTTTGAAAACTAAATGCTAATGATGTTAAATATTTTCGGTAATGTTCTTATATTTCAATTTCACCAAATTTAGTGCGTCAGATGATATATTTTGGGCATACAATGTTTAAATGTTATTGCTTATATTTTTATAAAAATTTCATAATTTTTTTAAAATTTTTTGTGTCTTCTATCTAGCATTTTTTGCGTATTGGTTGACATCGCGTTGCCTCAACCGATGTGTATTAGTACCCTCTAAATCGACAGCCAATACCGTGACTTTGAACCATATTACCATCCTCATTTCTCTTCCATCAAGAACAAGAATTTGGAGTTTTGGACACTTCGAGAGAACTTTATATAACTTTTTGCTAACAAGGCTTCTGTTAACTAGGCTTTTATGGAAATAAAAGCATCGACTAAAAAAAAAATTGGAATTTTATTCCAAGGGATAGAATGACTTCAGTAGACTAGACCATTTGGATACCGCCGAAGTCAAGGGAGCGTATGAAGAATGTCAAGTTCAATAAGATCTTTTCCTTGAAAGTGTGAACGAAGAACTTTATGTTCAATTGTGGGGTTTGGGAAAAGCAGAATAACAATGGCAATCCTGATTCTCAACAAGACTACAGAAGCAAGGAGGGATAAATAATGCCGTAGAAGGATTTGGAGAAGTGCCAACAGAAGNTATAATTAATAATTATAACTGAATCATAATCCACAATCAACAGACAAAATTTCAATGTTCTAGACGTTGTGATCAAGAATTACGATATGTTTTATATGATTTATACATCTAACACAAAAAATAGTGAAAGACAAAAGATAGATCAGATAAATTATGGAATACTATGTCCAGCATACCAACGCATTAGAAAATGCAATAAGTTATAAGTCAAATGCCCTCTAGAACAACACTGGATTCGGCCATCTGTCCCTCTCTCCCCAGTGTAGACGAAGCGTCTCTTAGAAGCCAACACTGGCTTTAAATAGGGGCTCCTCTTTTTTTTTGACTTTTTGGGCAATTTTTTATTAGTTACTTTTTGGTGGGTAAAAATACTATGATAATTTACATTATAATTGTTAAATTAGCTTTGTGTCATATAATTGAATTTATTTTCATTTTTTAATTTAATCTAAAATTAAATATTGAATTACATTAGATTTGGATGTAAATTTATAATTAATGGGTACATGTTTAGTATTTTTAAATATCACAAAAAGAAAATACTAAATATTTGCATTTTTGGTATTTTTAAATATCAAAAAATTTGAAAACTAAATGCTAATGATGTTAAATATTTTCGGTAATGTTCTTATATTTCAATTTCACCAAATTTAGTGCGTCAGATGATATATTTTGGGCATACAATGTTTAAATGTTATTGCTTATATTTTTATAAAAATTTCATAATTTTTTTAAAATTTTTTGTGTCTTCTATCTAGCATTTTTTGCGTATTGGTTGACATCGCGTTGCCTCAACCGATGTGTATTAGTACCCTCTAAATCGACAGCCAATACCGCGACTTTGAACCATATTACCATCCTCATTTCTCTTCCATCAAGAACAAGAATTTGGAGTTTTGGACACTTCGAGAGAACTTTATATAACTTTTTGCTAACAAGGCTTCTATTAACTAGGCTTTTATGGAAATAAAAGCATCGACTAAAAAAAAAATTGGAATTTTATTCCAAGGGATAGAATGACTTCAGTAGACTAGACCATTTGGATACCGCCGAAGTCAAGGGAGCGTATGAAGAATGTCAAGTTCAATAAGATCTTTTCCTTGAAAGTGTGAACGAAGAACTTTATGTTCAATTTTGGGGTATGGGAAAAGCAGAATAACAATGGCAATCCTGATTCTCAACAAGACTACAGAAGCAAGGAGGGATAAATAATGGAAGTTGAGGGTAATGCCGTAGAAGAATTTGGAGAAGTGCCAACAAAAAAGGTTTGAAGAGAGAGAGAAAAAGGAAACTATCAAAGGCTTGGAGCATAATGAGATCATCTTTAGAGAAACCAGAACATCCTAATGCAAGCCAAGAACATTGCATGGAGAAGGACTGTTATCAAGAGAGAAATGGACTCAATATCAGAATATCCAAGGGAACTACTTTCAAGTAGTGCATGAGTTTCTCCTTTTTCTTTTTCTTTGGAGAAGCTTCAGCGAAGTCACCTTTTTGCCTACAAATATAACACCTGACACTTGTTTTTGATCTAAATTTATTTCCTCACCAAAATATCCATTTCGTTTGTGACCAGAATTATGTTTGGATATTACATATAATTGGTTTTCTTTTCGGGTCTGCAATCACATGCAATACCAAGTTTATTCCCAGTTTCCTCAATTTTGACAGAGAACCTCCTTTGATTTCAGTATTTCTCAAGAGCAACAAGAGCATGTTGAAAGATCTCACAAGGAAAAGGGCCATGGTGCAACCTGGTCCAACTGGGCGTGGGCTTCAGTCGATGGCAGCTAGCGTGGTGGGAATCATCCTACCAAAAGGGAATCACTTGGGTAGAAAGTCTCGAGACAATTTCCAAACAAGGAAGTTTGGTCCAAAAGGGTAGATCGTGGTGACCCAATCCCAAATCACTTGGTGAAGTAAGTGTTAAGTACTTGATAAGTTTGAGCTTTGAACCTTCACTATACAATACGTTTTAAAGTAGTACAAGCCTCGCCTAAAGCAAACAATATGGTGTGATATGGGTCAAAGCATTATAAATAACATTAGAGTCGTTGACCCTCATGGAGTGGACACCACATATGTGCATCCCTTGGTGTAACCCTGTCCAACAAGGGCAGTGGTTTGGGACGGTAGCAACTAGCATCGTAGAAGTCATCCTCCAGAATCCCAGATCACATGGGTCGGCATGGGGCCTAAAATAAGGAAGTTTAGACCTGAGGTGGTGGATTGTGGAGACCTAATCCTATTCATATATCGCTTGGTGAAGTATGTGTGAAGGGCATGATAACCTTCATCTTAGGATGCATTTTAAAACCCTGTGGGCCTAGTCTAAAACAGACAAAACTAAACAATATAGGTTCAAGACATTTCAAACATGAATCTCAAAATAGAGCGGCGATCATGATCAATCATATTGCTTCTGTAAAATATAAGGAGAATAACAGCAACAAAGGATAATTGACAACCACTAATATATTAAGAAAAGCAATAATGAATTTACCCATATATGCTAGAAAAATTGCAGTAAAGAAAAGGACACAGAAAGAAATATTAATGACTAGGGTCACATGGCCTAGCAATGCACATCAGAAAATGCAAAAGAGANTCAAAGCATTATAAATAACATTAGAGTCGTTGACCCTCATGGAGTGGACACCACATAGTATGTGCATCCCTTGGTGTAACCCTGTCCAACAAGGGCAGTGGTTTGGGACGGTGGCAACTAGCATCGTAGAAGTCATCCTCCAGAATCCCAGATCACATGGANATGGGTCAAAGCATTATAAATAACATTAGAGTCGTTGACCCTCATGGAGTGGACACCACATATGTGCATCCCTTGGTGTAACCCTGTCCAACAAGGGCAGTGGTTTGGGACGGTAGCAACTAGCATCGTAGAAGTCATCCTCCAGAATCCCAGATCACATGGGTCGGCATGGGGCCTAAAATAAGGAAGTTTAGACCTGAGGTGGTGGATTGTGGAGACCTAATCCTATTCATATATCGCTTGGTGAAGTATGTGTGAAGGGCATGATAACCTTCATCTTAGGATGCATTTTAAAACCCTGTGGGCCTAGTCTAAAACAGACAAAACTAAACAATATAGGTTCAAGACATTTCAAACATGAATCTCAAAATAGAGCGGCGATCATGATCAATCATATTGCTTCTGTAAAATATAAGGAGAATAACAGCAACAAAGGATAATTGACAACCACTAATATATTAAGAAAAGCAATAATGAATTTACCCATATATGCTAGAAAAATTGCAGTAAAGAAAAGGACACAGAAAGAAATATTAATGACTAGGGTCACATGGCCTAGCAATGCACATCAGAAAATGCAAAAGAGATTACAAGGTGACTAAGAGCAAGATTGGATTGTCAAATAGCAGTAAGATGACATCTAACCTTCAAAATTACACTATAAAACTATATTGCAATNGATTACAAGGTGACTAAGAGCAAGATTGGATTGTCAAATAGCAGTAAGATGACATCTGACCTTCAAAAATTACACTATAAAACTATATTGCAAAAGCAGTCCGACTGTGGAATAGAACTGACAGCAGGTGCTGGTAAGTGGAATCGGCAGCAGTTATGTATGAAAGAAGAATAGAAATTGATAACCTACTGCTTGCCAATTAAAAAATTCCTTTAGAAATCAAATGTGATATATAGAAACTAGTTGCTTTAGCCACCGCCATAAATATTTAAAAAAAAAAAAGAAAGAAGAAATGCAAGCATATGCTAAGTGAACGGAGACCTTACATCCTCTAATTCAAGACCAAAACGAACATCTGGCCTGTCTGAACCATATCGATTCATCGCATCAGCATATGTAAGCCTGGGGAAAGGGTTAGGTAGCTGGACGCCTTTGATCTTGAGGAAAACCTGCAATTGAACATGTGATCATGCCTTCTTGTGCAAATTGAGTTGGTAGATAGATTACAACAATCCTGCAACTGCAGAGTGAAAATTATAAAAATATTCTATAAAATTACAGAAAGATAACTTGAAGCATCAATTCCCCTGGCTGTTTGCCTGTTTGACCAACTGCCTCTAAAGAATCTTCAAAAGCCATTCTAGTGGTCTATTTTATAATCACCCATTCTGCTAACCTCTATTGATGAACAACTGAGCTCACTATGGGGAGTTTGTACCCTAAGCCAAGCTTTCTTTTTTGTTTTAAAAAAAAAAATGGCTCACTACAGTAGCGTGCCGGAAAAACATAGAACATTGTTGACATGTTTCAAGTTAAATACACCACATTCAGATCCACAACTCAATTAAAAATTAGAACTATAATGTTGAACTTATATTTTTAAATTTCCTTCTTAATAACCTACAAAATACTGATTCAAAGCTATTCTTATTATACTCCAATGTGCTTTCAGGTTGACCAAATTTTACCAATCACATACCAAGAACAACTCAACTAAGTACAGAGACGGCCGGATTCTAGCAACTATCATTATAAACCTGATTCTACCAACATTATTAACACACAAAGGAAACACCCGAAGTCTGACTTCATATCAGAATCCTGGATCAAACTACACGAGATATGAATTGGCATCGATCAGATCAACTCATTTGTGGGCTTTCTTCACATAGTATTTCTACAATCTAATATTTATAATCATAGTCAGTCTATACTCTTTTCCTTGTCCCTAGAGAAGAGGTAACATGATCAATGATTTAACTGAAATTAGTCAGACAATTACTGAAATACCGGATAAACAAGAAATGGTTTTACTCTGGATTGTTTAGAGTTATAACAAACACCAGAAATTTATACTCTCCTCACACAAATTGTTTCACGAAGCCCCCCCAGGATTTATTGTGAGCATTGAAAAAGAACATTCACATTCCTTACACTCAATTATCTCTCTCTCTCTCTCTCTCTCTCTCTCTCTCTCTCTCTCTCTCTCTCACACACACACACACACATTTTCTTTCCCTTGTTCACCTCTCTCAAATTTGTTAATCTTTTATTAGGGAGTTCTATATTTTTGTCAACTTTAGCAGTACGTAAAACTTACTACCTGTCTAATCAGATCTTCATTGAGCCTCAGCATGTCCTCCAAAGGAGTGAAAGCCAATTCCATATCCAACTGTGTAAACTCTGGTTGTCTATCTGCCCTGAGATCTTCATCCCGGAAACATCTGCATAGAAACAACATGAAGGTAAATGTGCATCAAACTTTGATCAGATATCTGCCCATCAAAACCAAATTACTTAATACTTCCCTATATTTTAGAGGGAATGGCTATCCCAATAAAATCAAAATCACAAAATTTTTTGGAACTTTAGAGCCCCTCTGGCTTGCACTTCATACAAATTAAAACACAAGAAGGAACTATCATTTACTAGCCCAAGTTAGAACAGCAGAGCTGAAATAAACAACCACAGCAAAACTACGACAAACCAATCTCTGATAGCCGTTACTAAAAGAAATACCTTGCAATCTGGTAATATCTGTCAAAACCAGAGACCATTAGCATTTGCTTAAACAGCTGTGGACTTTGAGGTAAAGCATAGAACATCCCTGGCTTCATAATACACAATAGACGGAATTAAATCTCCAAATGACTGAGACACTATCCAAAGTAATTAAGAACCTCTAAGAATATAAGCTTATGTATAACTAGAGATCAAGGATCAAAATTTTGTTTCAATGTATTATTTCCGTCACCTAGGAAACGGTCCGAAAATGTTTTGACGTGTTTCAAAAATGTTTCGACCCATTTCGAAAATAGAATGAAAAAAAATTAAAAAATTAAAAATTATTTTTTCAAAACATTGGTCAAAATATATCAAAATGTTTTGAAATACCTTGAAACATTTAGAAATAATTGTACAAATACATTGAAATATAACAAAACATTTGAAACATTATGGAACATCTCAAAGTATTAAAATTTCATCACTGATTTGTTTTGGTCTCCTTGAAAACGGAAACGTATCGGATGTTTCAACCGTTTCGAAACAATATTTTAATCCTTGCTAGAGACCATTAGCATTTGTGATTAAACAGCTGTGCACTTTGAGGCAAAGCATAAGACATTCCTGGCTTCATAATACACATTACAGTCAACTAAACCTCCAAGCGATTGAGAAGTATCCTGAGTAACCAATAACTTTCAAGAATATAAATTTAGGTATAACAAATTTTGCTCAACAAAGATAGGGGCAGTTTGACAAAAACGAAAGCCCTGGGCAAAAATTCCCGAAGAGGCCTTATATTAACATCCAATATAATAATTTACAAACTAAATTCTTGCTTTTTAAGATGCAAGAATACTAATTAGGTTTTAATATTCAAGTCTTGATAATATGTAATATTCAATCTATAATAGAGTTAATCCACTCAACCTTTCTGTGACGTAGCCAATCATGGATAAAAAATTATAATTTAAGTTAAAAACTTCTTTCTGCAAAGCAAGTGTTCCAAGTACTATCAACAATATATGTATACAATGCATGCTTCTGGAAAAGAATCTAATTATTTATGTAAGTTTTAGTTTCAATTTTGTAACATTTATTTTCATATTTTTAACTTTAAAAATAAATCCAAACCAAGGTTGAACACTGGGTAAAATGGGGAAAAAATTATCAATTTAAATTAAAAACTTCTTTCAGCAAACGCAAGTGCAACCGGTCCTGGTGTTATCAACAATATCATGTATGCAATGCATGCTTTTGAAAATAGTCTAATTATTTATGTAACTGTTAGTTTCAACTTATCACATTTAATTTAATACTTTTAACTCTAATAATAAATCCAAATCAAGGTTGAACACTGGGTAAACTGGGGATATAGTAGGACTAAACCGAAGAACAAGGTGGAGAACATGATGGAGCTTGTAGATGTTGGGAAACACCTGTCAACTTGTCAACCATGGTTAGGTAGACCACATTGCCACGGGTCTCAATTTGAGATGTAGTAAAATTATTCCAATCCAATAGTTTTTGTAGAATTCTTGGAAGTCGTTCCTCTGCTCAAAATTTCACTCCCTAAAACATTTTTTAGGAACTCTAAAATGTGCATTTGGTTTGTTTTTGTTAGTGGGCTATAAAAATAGTAAGTTTTTAGGGGCCATATAAATTTAGAGGCCAGCCACCTTCGTGGCCTAGATGTAGGGTTAGCCCTGTTAGCTGGTTGATATAGTATATATTATAACTTTCCCTTATTCCAACAAACTCAAAATGGCTTTTATGCCTCCTAGATAAAAAAACAATCAGCATAAGAACTAAAAACTAAAGTAGCAAGGAAAGTTAATAGACAGCCTACATATAATGGCAAGCATCAAGTTGCATTCTCATAACCACATATACCTAAACCACACACAAGGCAGCCTCATAAGGAGAGACAAATGGTGCCAACCTTGAAACGAGGTTAGTGTTTGGAAACCTAAAAACAGTTAGAAAGCGCCAAAAAATATAGTGTCCTTTATTTGATTTTCCTTCAATAAGAAAAAGAGACACCATAAATGTGCACACACTTGAGATTGTAATACATTGTATATTTGGATGTTAATCACACAGATTTGGTTTACATGGAGCACACACTAGGATAAATGCAACAATGCAAACCACAACTTAAGCAGACTCTCATGTCAGCTAATAAAATATTACATAGAGCTAGGTTAACTCTCATAAAAAACATAAGTCTCATGGAAGAGAAGCAAGAAGAAGAATCAAAAGAAAAAGGACAATTAAGATACAATTAACTTGTATTCCCTTTTCGGGCCACGCAAACTACCCCTGACAATTTACTGTAGAAATCGCCCCTTTAAAGAAAATCATGGAGTGAATGGAAATTGATAAGCGATAAAGAACAATACCTGAACTCTTGAGGGCACCAAATAATCTCGGGCACCTTCAGGAGTAGATCTAGAGAGTATTGGAGTCTCAATCTTCCTTACAAACATGAAAAGATTAGAGGACCAAACCAACGAACAAATGTCAAACACAAAAGTAAGTTGAAAGCTTCATGTGCAAAAGAAATGTTCAAAGATCGAAATCAATACCTCCACAAAACCATGTATATCCTCTAGGTACCTCCGAATAAGTTTGATCACTTTATGCCGTAACATTATGTTGGATTTCATTTGCGGCCGGCGTAAATCAAGGCATCGATATCTAATAACATGTATATGACCTATTTTATTTAATAGAGCTAGCAGAAACATTATCAATCGAAAAAACCATATATATTATGCAAAAAAGGGAGGAGAAGCAATTTTGTGTTCTTCCTTCAAAAACACGAGTTTATCGAAAAATATTTTGAACGTGCAATAGAAAGTAACAAACATGTGTGGGACAATGAACCTACTGTAAAAACAAAGTCTACGTCATATTTGGTATTGAAATGGCAATTAATTCAATGAATCTTCACATTCGACACCCAACAAAATGCTTTCCTGAAAAGAAATACTTTCTTCAAAAATCAAAAAGCCCTCTAGCAATACCATAACCAATATCTAGGATAAGAAGCAATTAGGTTGGTAACGTTGCTTAGTCCAAAAAGGATTCTCTATTGCAATTCAAATACATAACCTTCAACTAGATGGTTAGCCTAACAATAACCCAAATTGGAAAAGTAATAGCAATAACTATCATAGCTACAACAACAATAATGATGATGGTGATCCCTCGACTTGGGCCAACTAAATGTTATACGAATATCAACAACTCGTTTAAATACTCAAAAAAAGATAAGGTAGAGCTCGAACATTCAGCAGAACCAAAAAATAAAATAAACATATGAAAAATCAATGTGCATTAGAAAATCAGAGGGACTTCTCTGTGAATGAAAGACAAGCAACCTAGTACACGATAAACATGACAAAATGGCAGGAATAAATGACTGGGTAGCTTTATATCTGATCAACTTTGAGCTAGGTACCTCAAACGGATTTCCTCTTTAACAGAATCTTTGGCATCATCTGCTGAAGTAACCAAGAATGGCAACTTAGATCTCACGGCATTTAAAATATGAACAAGCTCTGCAGCAACCTGGCAGACAAAACCAATAATGTGAAAAGTAGAGAAAAGACAAACAAATTATCAGACTAAAAGAACTTCAAAAAGATGGTTTCAAACATATCCAATTAGACTGCATAGAAAATATAACCAAGTGTTGAAGGAAGCGCTAATGTCTACAAAATAGAGAGCTGATTTGTGGACCCAATCTCCCTCCCTCCCTGCTCTCTCTAACCCCCGCACATATTCACTTGGGATTTGAAAAAACCAGAAGGATCAACTTCAAATTGCATCCTTTTTGTTCGTCCTCCCCTTGGTTCACCAATTCATTTCCCACCACAATCACCACTAAATTCAGCAGTGAAGGGACCCTTCCTAGATCCCAAAATTTCAACTTATTCATGTCCCACCACAATCACCACCAAATTCAGCAGTAAAGGGACCCTTCCTAGATCCCAAAATGTCAACTTTCTTCCAAGATACTATAGCAAGTATCTTTGTCCATGCTCTATTGCATGCATGGACTAATAGAGTAAATCAGTGGAAAATATGAAATTGGCATAGTGTTTACTGTATCTAACAATCCCATTTGCTCAGCTTGGTGAGTGCAACAAAACTGATACACCACTACCAACTGGTTCCATCGAAAAAAAATGCCAAAGCTCTTCAACTGATGGAGATAGGGCCAAACAAAACTGGATGACAAACCAAAAGAACTTTTTCCTTTTTGATTTCAACAGGGTATCCCTATAATGGACTGTGAAGAATTGAGTTGCTTCTATATTGCTCATTGATTTAACAGTCTAGCAATAGATAGATAAATAACAAAAAGGAAATGTTCAAATCAAAATTCACTTACTAGGTTGATATCAAAATAAAGACTCATTTAGGGGATTAGAGCATCATTTTTTAGAGGCAATTCTGAAAGCAATTCTACATGGGCCTCCAAGAATTAGTGAATTACAACTCTGGGGTTTTAATCAACTCTTCCACAGTTTCTGACGTGTTCATGCAGCTCAATTATCTTCAAACCCAACAATTTTCCACAAAGGGAAATGCATCCAAGCTTTTTCCTCCACAAATTGCTGGTGCTATTTTTTCTTTTAGATGTGATAGTTTCCGTCTACTAACTTATACTCAACATATAATTTGTTGCAAATGACTTCATCATTACTTATACAAGAAATACAATTAGATAGCGGTTAGGTTTCCGCACATGTTACAAAAAAAATCAGCTCAATAATGGCTTATAGTATCTTTTACGGAAAAAAACCTAGATACACACTCACGGTGATGGAAGATCAATAAGGGCAGAGAGATTATGAAAACACTTGAGTCTCTCCAATAGCATCACTACAAGTTCATTATGCAACTTTGGCTAAATGTAACTGCAAGAAACAATGTGAAGCAAAACATAACAAACCTCTATCATGCCAGTCTTCATTTTCTTGTTCACTGACTCACTTGGCCGCAACCGAACAACACCTTCCACAGTTATCACATACTCAAGTCTCAAGTCATTCACAACAGAATGAGCCTCAGGGAACTCATCAGGAAGCGTAGTAACCTAATCATCAACTATACATGTCATTCAATAACAACATCACCAATAGTAACCTCACAAAATTATCATCGAGAATCCTCAAGGCATATACACATTGTATTAAAAATACATCCCATCAAAATAATTTGGAGTAAAATGTTCAATTGACAGCATGGTAAATATGCTACACAAACAAACAGAGAGCGTCGAACAGTGTGCATCAAATCTAAATCCAGTCGAATGCAAAATAATCAGTGTCATTCTCCTAATGTCAAAAGAGATATTTTTTCTGGTAAGTATGTCAAAAGTGACGTTATTGCATAAATCTGTGCGCTTTTTGTGCGATTAAACTCGGGTTAGCACCTATATATATATATATATATATATTCATCGAATGTACACCAAAAGACAGAAATTCGCAGTTGCAAAATTATAGGCATAAAATTAATTCAGAAATTCAGGATAGTGAAACAAATTTTATTTCCAAAAGCAAAAAATTGCTCTCTTCTTGTGAACCTGAACAAGTCCAGTGTGGTCTCTGAGGTTAAGGAAAGTGAGACCACCATGAACACGGTGAAGCGCCACCCACCCGCAAAGCCGAACCCGTTTGCCCACATCATGTTCCGATAATTGGCCGCAGAACCCAGTTCGATTGACCCATTCAAGAGTTTCTTTGAAAAGAATTCCTGGTTGTTTAGTATTAGGAACTGAAGTTTCTGTGGAAGACAGTGGAGAGGCAGAAGCAGAAGCAGAAGCAGAAATAGAGGAAAGACTCCGTTTTATAAATCTTTTGGGCTTTATGATTTTATGGGAATTGAGGCAAAACAGAGGACGATGAGCAAGAGAGATGGGTTTGGTTCGGAGAACTATTGTGGGTATAGCTCGGAGGAGGGCGGACATGGTCTATGAGAGAGGGAGAGAGAGGGGCTTATCTGCGATGCAGAGGGGACAAAGAGGGTTTAAGTTGTGTGTTTGGGAGTTCGCAAGATCGAATCTTGGGTACGAAGGAAAATTGGATGGATGGAAAAGACACGGGATGGAAAATGGGGAGGATTGAAAGAGTTTCCCTTGTTTGGTATAAGAGGAAAAGTGAATGGAATGGAAAAATCGGTGGATAGCTGGTCCTTCACGCCCACCATTTATTTTCCGTCCAATAGTGGGGCAGAAAGTGGACAGAAAAGTGGGACAGCTGGTATGAGGTTTGGTTAATTACTTCTATGCCCTTCATTGGATAAATCTGGTGAGTTTTCTTATAGCATCCTACATGCGCCACGACGCCACACGGCTAATTTATGTAATAGATAAATACTGTTTATTATTTTGTTTTTGTTCCTTTTTTGACTTTTTACTATAACNTGGGACAGCTGGTATGAGGTTTGGTTAATTACTTCTATGCCCTTCATTGGATAAATCCGGTGAGTTTTCTTATAGCATCCTACATGCGCCACGACGCCACACGGCTAATTTATGTAATACATAAATACTGTTTATTATTTTGTTTTTGTTCCTTTTTTGACTTTTTACTATAACAAACAAATTATTTTTTAGACAAATTAATCTTTTTATACTTGAATATACTTGTAAACTGTTACAATTTCAATTCAAAATTTACACATTTATCACGAAATACTTTTAAATATCCTATCAAATANAAATTATTTTTTAGACAAATTAATCTTTTTATACTTGAATATACTTGTAAACTGTTACAATTTCAATTCAAAATTTACACATGTATCACGAAATAATTTTAAATATCCTATCAAATTTATTATCATTTTAATTAATAGTTAATTCGTAACAAAAATAAGGGGATTAAATCTTTTTCAAATTAATTGGATTATTTTGTAATAAAAAATTTACTTAATATATTTAAGGGTAGAATTATAAATTGGGCATATTTGTTTTTCCAATCCTTTCATTTTTCATCCAATACCAAACGATGAAAAATATATCTCTTCTATTTTTCATCTCTTCTATCAATCAAAAAAAAGGAAAAATAATTTTTTTTCTTTATAAATGAAAAAATTATTCCTTTCACTTTTTCTTCCTTCCTTCTTTCTATCCTTCGTACCAAATGGACCATAAAGAAATACATAAAATCTTCCTAAATCTTTACCAAACGGCCACTGTTTTCTCTCTCCTAATCTTTTACCCTTTTGGGGCCTTTTTCACTTCAAATCAGACTTTGGCCGCGAGAAAAGGTAAAATCTTGTGTACATTCACTGTAAATACCCTAAAGATACGTATACAAAACATCCTATGATTTTTTTAAAATCCACTAACATACCCCAATTACTTTTAAGATCTCTCCCTATAAAGTAATGGGCAATAAATACATAGGAACATCCAAAACTCATATATTCATTTACGTTGGATTTAATGTATTTATGAGAGATAAATTTTTCATGTCTTGACTCTAAGAAAAATTGTCAAGATTTAAATTCAAAATCTCTGAATTTACAGTTTATTTTTATTGTCAAGATTTAAATTCAAAATCTCTGAATTTACAGTTTATTTTTATTATCATTTAAATTATCCCTTAGTGTTCACTTCTTCACCTACCACAATGTAGGGGAAAATCCCTAAAATGAGTATAGAAGAATTACAAAAAAAAACAGTAGTGTTATTTGAGAAAATTAAATGGATATATATGTATTTAGGCAATTAGGCCAAACAAGGAAAGCAAATCAGCAAGCCAAGAAAAAAGTGTAATCCAACGGCTCATTCACACTCTTTTATGGAATATTTTATTTCCTTCAGTCCAACGGTCAAAACCACAGCTGTTTTTAAATCTCCTATACCTCTTCTTATTTGGAAACTAGCCGTTACAATCTGCACAAACAATATCAACCAAATCAATTTCAATATTCACAAGCCAACCACTCAGAGATCTTCTTACTCTGTTTCTCTTTCTAATTAAATTTCCATATCTCATTCCTACCTTGGAAACAAGTTCAAATCAAATCAATTTCAAGATTCACAAACCCCACTCTGTCAAGAACAGATCTTCTTGCGCTGTTTAACTTTCCATTATCACCATCTTTCCCTCTCTGGTGAAGTTCATCAATGGCAATACCATCAAACAGATCTCCATCCCCAGTTTTCACAAGACCAAACCCTAATCCAAGAAACTCACAGAACAATTCCACCTTCAGAAGAAGTTTCAGTGGGAACCCATTTCCTCGACCTTCCGTTACTACAAACCCCAGAAGTTTGAACCCAGTCACCCCTGCTAATAGCCCTTCAGGTTCATCTTTTTCTACCACTTCAACACACACACACTGATTTAATTTAGGTGTTTGCATCACAATTCTGTAATGGGTTTTGATTAATGTTTGGTTTCTGTTTTGTACGAGTGAAGATTTTGCAGGAAGACACTATGAGGGGAAAGAAGACCCCGTTTCTTTAAGGGGTTCAGAAGAGAAAGAGAATGAGAAGGACCAGAATCTGAAAGGAGTGAAAGCTCGATCACCCGCGAAAAATTTCATGTCACCGACGATCTCTGCGGCTTCTAAATTCACCCCATCACCGAAAAAGAAAATTTTGGCGGAAAGGAACGAGCCTGTCCAGACTTCGATTTCAGTTTCTAGTGGAAAAGTCCGGTTCAATTCAGTGAATCTGTCAGATATTACTGAAGATTCTGATTTAAAGCCTTCAAACATGAGTTTGGAGCAGAATGAAACTGGGAGTTCACTCGTTGAATCACTCGATTCAACCAATGTGGAACCAGGCCAGATCAAGGAGGCAACTGCTATGAATTTGAACACAGAAAGTTCACTTTCAGAGGTACCTCTAAATTCCCAGAATGTTTCTGAGTCATTATCAGAGGTGATTTCTGTGAGTTCTGATTTTGTCAATGTTGAGCCAAGTACCAAGAGTAGGCCTTTTTCTTCATCAGTGTCACCAATTATAGCACCACTAGACGCAGACCCATCTCTTCCTCCTTATGATCCCAAAACTAATTACCTTTCACCAAGGCCTCAGTTTCTTCACTATAAACCCAACCCAAGAATTGAACTTTATCTGAACAAGGAAAAAGGGCTTGGTATTGGAGAAGCTAAGCAGCTTGAAGAGAGCTTCAACTCTGAAAACTCTTCGGATGCTGATCTTACTGAAGAAACTCAGTCTGAAGACTCGCAGAAAGAATCTGAGGAAGCTTCTTTGGTTGAGATGATACCGGAAGAAGTAGCAGAACCTGATGTTCCTGAACCAGTAACGATAGGAACCCCCATTAGTACTGAAGTAGATACTGAAATCTCTAAGGAGACTGTTGAAGTGAAAAGAGTCTCAAAATTGAGGCTTTTTACGAGATCAACATCTATTTCTCTGCTTTTGCTATTCCTGATTGCATGTGTATCAGTCTCAGTTACTGATTCTCCTGTTATTGACACATCTGTATGGCAAGATATGAGGTTTTCTAAGCTTTATGACTCATCTGAAGTTATTTTTGCAAAAGAAAATTTTGATGGGCTTGCTAGGAATTTCAAACACTGGTCAGCTAACTCTGTCTCTTACCTCTATAAGTTGATTCCTATTCCTAGTGAAGCAGAGAGATTGGGAGCATTGCGNAGAAAATTTTGATGGGCTTGCTAGGAATTTCAAACACTGGTCAGCTAACTCTGTCTCATACCTCTATAAGTTGATTCCTATTCCTAGTGAAGCAGAGAGATTGGGAGCATTGCGATTCAGTAACTTGACTGCTTTACAAGAGGATATTTTAGGACGTTGCTGCCATTTGGTTGATCACAATGACCAGAGCTTAGAAGAAATCTATGAAGGAGAAGTGTTGGAACCTGTGAGAGATGAGGAGGTTGAAATGGGACTATCAGAAGAGGAGGAGGTTTATTCAGAGGTTGATGCTGATGACAATGGTGAAGTGGCATCAGAAAGCCAAGGTTACACAGAAACTGAAGAAGGGAATCAGACGCAAGAAGCTGAAGAGAATGAACCAAATAATTCAGAAGTGGTTTTGGACCAAGAAGAAAGGGATACCACTGCCTACCTTGATGCTGAACCCGAAAATACCTTAAACTGCAAAGAACAATCAGCTCCAATTTCTCTTGGTATGTCAGAAGAAGGTATTGATCTTGGTTCTTCTGCCAAAGCTGATACCACTACGGTGAATTTGAATCATGATAGCTCCTCAAAAATGGCTCCTTCAATTGAGGATTTTCATAATCCAGAAGTGCTGAATTCTCCACTCAGCAGGTCAGAAGCCAAGTTCTCCAAGCGTGATATGTTGGGAATTTTTTTGCTTGTTCTGGCTTTAGCGGCCACTACTGCTTTTATATATTGGAAGCAATCAAAAGCTACTACCCCAAACGAAGTGGTTCATGGTGATCTATTGTTGACTAAGAAGCTGATATCCAACCCATTAGCTGCCAGTATCAACCCTATGTACCAGGACAAACCATCATCACAAAATTGGCAGACCGAGGTTGACGTGGTTGGAGAGTCATGTCCCTCAGAAATGAGCAGCTATCAGAAGAGCTCATCTTATAGCAAGAAATTCCTGGGGGGAGCAGACGAAGCTCAGAGCCATGAGAGAAAGCCGAGGAAGAACCATAAACGAGAATCATTGGCTTCTTCATCAGAATACTCCATGGGCTCGCTTTCTTACGGAAGTTTCACAACATATGAGAAGATTTCCAGCAAGCATGTAAGTATATGTGTTATTATTGGNCATGGGCTCGCTTTCTTACGGAAGTTTCACAACATATGAGAAGATTTCCAGCAAGCATGTAAGTATATGTGTTATCTTGTTTATCATTTATCAAACAGCAAAGTCTTTTTCCAGAACTCCTGGAATTCAGGTATTATTTCTCACATTCAATACTTCTGTTGGTTTTCAAGGCAAGTGGAGAAGAAGAAATCGTGACCCCTGTTAGGCGCTCAAGCAGGATCAGAAGCCAAGTCACTTCTCCATGACAATTGGAAGGAAACTTTGCCTATTGCCACTGACTGTGTTGCATTGGTTTTGATTGTAATCCAAACACCTGGTTATGTTGGTGCCTACTAATCACCAACTTTCTCTTATTTTAATGCCCTACTAATCAACCACTTTATGTATTTTAATTGTGACTTGTGCCTTTTGCTTCATGGAGTGGTGACATGCTTATTTCCTGTACTTATTGATTTTTTTTTATCANTCAACCACTTTATGTATTTTAATTGTGACTTGTGCCTTTTGATTCATGGAGTGGTGACATGCTTATTTCCTGTACTTACTGATTTTTTTTTTTCGGAAATTATTAAGTGTTGCTGTTTGATGCCTTTTCCATTGTCTACTTTAGAAACCTGAATACTTGATTGGCAAATTCAAAGAGTATGGTAACATTTTTTGGGCATATTCACAAAAAATGCTAGAACAGTATCAACATGCCAAGAATTAATCTTAAGACGTGTGTTACCGTGGGAGAGAGTGATATGGTAGTTATTGACAGTAAGCATAGGGTAGAGGAAGACACAAAATTGACTTTAAACGAAATAGTAAAGAAATATATGGTAACTTGTGGTTTATAATAGAGTACAATGGTAAAAGAGGATTTATGTAGCGGACCCAAAAATGCTGGGACAAGGCTTTGTCGAGTTGAACTGAGTTGTTACCGTATACATTATAGATTTTGTTTTCAGAAAGCTCATGTCCCTAAGGGAAACACCTAGGTATGCTCAGGTTTTTCAGTTGCTAGCTTGAATCTGTTATAACTAATAAGCTTCTTTTCTCCTGCAAGAATTATGAGAATGAGTTCAGATTAAAGCTGGCCATGAAGAAACAGGGTGCTTGTTTTGTTCCAAGGTTTTTAGTTCTAACTTCTCTAAGCTTTCTTTAACAGGACTTTTTGTTAGGCTGTTTTATTTAGCACACTGTGGAGCAACATACTTCACTTTTTCTCACTTTATCCGTGACAAATCCTTTCATGTCATGTTCAGAAGGCAAACTCCTGTGAATGCTGCAAATTAGGAAACATATGTCACAGCAGAAGAACAAAAATTCCCAATTTTTTAGGATCAAACACTAACGTTCCTTTGAAAACTCATGAGACAGAGCAAATTGTCCCTGCAAGGCTGCAACTATGCAGTGGGCAAACAATTCACTTGCACAATCTGGATAAGTCATATCCACTAGGAATTATTGTGGGAGAGAGAGAGAGAGGGAGCATTGCAAAGGTAATCCACTAATGTGATTGAAAAATANTATCCACTAGGAATTATTGTGGGAGAGAGAGAGAGAGAGGGAGCATTGCAAAGGTAATCCACTAATGTGATTGAAAAATGNCTTTGAAGGTACAAATTGAGATTTTTGATCTTTGGGGGTGCACATTGATACAAATTTCTATCTTTGAGGATGCAAATTGAAATTTTTGCTCTTTTGAGGGTGTAAATTAAGATTTAAACTATCTTTCGGGATATAAAATGAGATTAACCCTAACATAAAAGTAGATGCTATGATATCTGTTGTGAGTGTTTGTACTCCAGNTGGAACATCTTAACTATGGAAAAAGCTAAATTATACAAAAATTTAATCAAGATCTGATGAATGAGCAACTCATACATTGATGCTCTACTCGGTGCAAAATGTTTATTGCCAGCTCTTTGGTCTGGTAAATATGCTGCTGGTGCATGCTAGAAAAACTGCAGAAAAAGATCTCTCCATCCAACAATATGCAGTCGTTCCACTGCCTCCAAACAGTGGATTAATAGGATGGGTTCCAAAGTNTTAGTAGGTGAATGTCTTAAAATTCCACTTCAAATAAAACATCAATTAGGAGACAGTGTTTTGAGTCTTTAAATAAATTATAGACCACTCAATTATTTTTAGCGATTTTGTCCCCTAATTTTGGACATCCATATTTAGTTATATTCTCNGTGTTACACCCTACACCATCTCTTTCCAGTACAGAGATGCCCTCAGGGTTTGTTTAATGCATTGGAGTCTCTCTCTCTCTTTCTCATTTCACTGGGCTTTTACTTTTTGTTTATTTCATTTTCTGAAGTTGTTTNCTCTGAGTTCCATTTGTTGATAGTAAAACTTTACCGCTATGCTTCATCCGTGGGTATAAACTTTCGAGTCAATCCACATAAATTTGCATGCGGTATTATTCAATTTCATTCACTTTGGTTGTTTGTAGCCTTCAGTTACTATTCCTGCCTTCTTTGGTTTGTTAGCCGCGACCTTGCAACTTGTATAGGCCCAGTACCAACAGAAAGTGTGATTAGGAACTAAACGAATTGTGTACTTTTGGCTTAGTTATCTTATAATAAGATGAATATATGATTATCNTTGGACTGGCTTTTAATAAATCTTTTGGTTAAAAAGTCGGGATTACTGAGGTATGGCTGGATGGCATGGTAAGCATTTTCTTTATTGTTTTGGAAAGCTTTGGTAACTAACCAAGTTGAGTCCTCTGTGAGTCCAAAAAATCAGTAATATTTGCATATTTTTATCTGGAAAGTTTCAAACATTTAAAACTTATGACTGAGCGATAGAATAACATAAAGGGTTAATCTCATTTTGTACCTTNAACATTTAAAACTTATGACTGAGCGATAGAATAACATAAAGGGTTAATCTCATTTTGCACTCCGAAAGATCGTTCGAATCTCAATTTACACTCTCAAAGATTAAAAATTTCAATTTGTACCCTCAAAGATAGAAAATTGTATCAATGTACACCCCTAAAGATCAAAAATCTCAATTTGTACCCTCAAAGATAGAAATTTATATCAATGTATANCCCCCAAAGATAAAAATTCTCAATTTGTACCCTCAAATATAGAAATTTGTATCAATGTACACTCCCAAAGATCAAAAATCTCAATTTACACCCTCAAAAATAGAAATCTGTATTAATGTGCACCTAAAACTAAATTGATAAATTATACCTAGATCCCCTCATGTTTGTCACTTAATCATTTGAACCCCTTCACATTTAGAATATTACCCCTACATCTCATGACGTTTGTACATGTGTAAACATAACCACTTTTCGTTGATATCTATTAATATAAT